GGATTCTGTCCATAAATTTCTAGTTTAGATGACACTGTGATGGAAATACATGAAAGTGAATGGACTGTAATTTAACGGTTACCAAGTACTCCTAAAACTTCACAAAGGAGAAGTCCTTCTTCTCTGCTAGGATTACCATATAGTAAAACTTATAGTATAATAATTTCATAACATGTGGCAGAAAAGCAGCTCACACCATAAAAACTTGGGATGTTTATTTTTTGTTAGGTTTGTTTTATTCTTTTTCACTGAGCTAAGGGCAAGACTGAACTGCCTAGAGGCTTGTTTGTTTTCTCAGCAGGATAAAGAAAGCAGGCAGGAAAAAGAACAACAGAACAAGGCAGAATTCCTCAGGAAAACACCAGTGAAGGGAAATAATAGTAATGCCAGGTTAGAAAAGCAAAATCCATAGAATCAAGCTTTACATGAGTAACAGCACTGATAGAAAGATGATACAGGAGTCTGGGTTCACAGCCTATTTGAAATGGGTGATGGAATTTTTCTAATGTACAAGCCCATGAACAGATATAATTAGCTTTATTATGCCAACATGATAAATAGTTACTGAATATATCCCTAAATTAGGTTGACCTCAATCTGTAAGGATCACAACTTTCAACAAAGGCTTGTTTTGCTTGCTGAAAAACTCACACAAGATACTGAGATGGACACGATATAGGTATTTTGGAGGGCTCCTCTCCAGACCTGAAATCATTTTTAAAGTGGGTTGTGCCGCAGGATCACAGAAACTGCACGCTAGTCAAACCACTTTATTGCCGGCCATGAATTAGTTTCCACAATCAATGTAGAGTCCACTGCTTTGTGAGTTTCACACACGGTTGTTTTTGGCTTTAAAGTCTCTCGAGTCCTATTCAGATCTTTGATCAAATATGGGCAAGAAGGTAACTTTTTCTTATTTTGGCAGCTGACATTTTTTTTTCCTCCTTTCTTGGTTTGGTAAGGAATATCTGAGCGTTATTCTTACTGGCTGTACTGCAACCTATTATAAACATCAGTGTGTCATTAAAACAGTGGTTGATCTGAGCATGAGGTAGTTCTAAACCTCTTTTGTTCAGTGTAATATGTAGGTGGATCAGTAGGCGAATGTGAGCAAAACATTGTGGGTATCTTTGAATTTACGACTTAACAAATAATCTCAGCATTTCAGGCTAGCTGAGTATATCTAAAAACATACTTTCCACCTCATCTATAGATGAGAATTAAAAGAAAAGGGCTTTTAATTGACATAGTGGTTTTTTTGTTTTATTGTGTTTTGTTTCTCCCCATTTTTTAAAAGTGAAAGGTCCAAGGACGTGATCCAGATAGTATGAGTTTGAATCCAGACTCCACCACTGGCGACCTTGGTCAAAATAAATTCTCAGTAAAATGGGGATAATGTATGTTATTTAGCTCACTTAATGAAACCTGATATTAATTTTTTTCAGTTTCACTGACCAATAATGCAAAGGTACTGATAAAACATGGCTTGTAAATTTCTATCATCCCTGATACTATTTTTTCTTACAAAATCATTGAATAATGGCTGATTTTGTTATTTAAAAAAATTCCAAAATCCACTGAAACTCTACATTTATAAGATTATTTTAAAATTATATTTCCAAATTATGACACTCTGTAGATATGTGAATTCCTATAAGGACATAGCATATAAATGTTGGCAATAAAATTGTACAATAATTGGAATATCTCCAAACATTTGTTTTGAAAATGTTCTTACCTTAGTATAAGTTTCATGATAAGGTACTTTGTCACTCATCATAAATGGACCAAATACCAAGTACTGGCAAGATCTTGAGCAAAATGAATTCTCATGCATTGCTGGGAAAAATGTAAATTGGTACAAGCTCTTGGGAAAACTGCTTGAAATTATCCATTAAAGTTAAACATATGTGTACTTCATTACCCAGCATTTTTATTTTTGGGTAAATGCCCAACATAAATGAATGCTAATAAGTAACACATTTATAAGAATATTCATAGCAGTGTTATTAACAATGCTGAACACTGGAAACACCCAAATGACAGCAGGAGAATATTCATTCTCATTCTTGTATAGTATTACATTTTGTTAATATAACACAATCTTTTATTCAAAATATTTTTGGACAAACAATGTGGATGAATCTCATAAAGTTGAGTAAAAGGAGCTAGGGCCCAAAAAAGTACATATCGATTCCATGTACATAAGGGTGAAGAACAGGAAAAATCAATCTATGATGATAGCAGACAAAATTATGGTTACTTTTGAGAGGATGTGCTGGCTGGGAGTGGGCATAAGGGGTGCGTCTGGGATGTGGGAGGTGTTCTAAATTATTGTCTGGGTCATCTTTGCACAGGTGTGAGTGTGTATACATATAAATTCATTGAACTGTACCTTTCAGATTTTCATGATCATTATTCATTTATTCCAGAATGCCATAGAGATTCTACCACTTGGATATTCTGTTTTTATAAAATTACCTGTACTACCTTATAGATGCTAGAACAGTTGCTAGACAATGAGAATACTCACAAGTCATAGAGCAGCTGCTCGTCCTACAGGATAGATGTGGGTTGTACCAAACTGGTGTGTGATTATCTGCTATATAGAGCAAAGTAAATTAAAAAGTTAATTATTAATTAAATGTAAGCTATTTGTCATTGTTAGATTAAATAAGTTGAAGTTTAAATGGTCTCTTTCCATGTAAATGGTTCCCCTTCATTTATTCTCAGTGGATGTTCTTGTCCCCTTCCTGCAGCCCTTCCCTAACCCCAAACTCAACTTTGGAGACTTGAGTTAGGCAACAGTTGCCCACCATGATTGTTTGTCAGTGGGATATCTGTTCAATAAATTCCTAAAGGAAAAATGTATAGTTATGAGTCCATTATGAGTTAGAGCAGGAGTTGGCAAACTTTTTCTATAAAGGGCCAGATAATATTTCTGGCTTTGAGAGCCAAATGGTCTCTGCTATAACTATTCAACCCTGCCATTGTAGCATGCATAGACAGCACATTATTTTTTTAAAAAGAAAAAGAATGGCTATATTTCAATACAACTTTGTTATGGACATTGACTTTGAATTTTATATCGTTTTCACATCACAAAATATTATTTGTTCTTTTGATATTTTGAAAACATAAAAACCATTCTTAGCTTATGGGCCATATGAAAACAGGTGACAAGGTGAATTTGGTCCTTAGGACTTCATTTGCAGAGCCCTGATTTAGAGTCACATAGTTCTAAGTTATTGTCAGCTTGCAGAGAATCTCAGCCCTTTTCTGTAGGCACACACAACACATTTCTCGTAGGTTGTCGCATTACCATATGTCATTAAAGGGTGTTCCTTTAAAGAGGCACTAAACATCAAGTTTAATATCAAAGACTTTGTTTCCTTTGTGACAAGATTTCAATTCATAGAACTTCTAATGAAAGAGGGTGGTTTTGCAAAACATTCCACTGAGATATTTGAGGCATGGTCATTAATAGCTACAGTGTCAGTAAGAACCACAGTGCTTTTCTGCATCATCTTAGTTCCAATTTGATAAACCTTTTTTTAAAAAAAAATCTTTATTTTGGAAACTAGAGAACAATGAAATAACAAAGGCAATATAAAACACATTTGTTTGAGGCCCACTGGCCAAGTTCTGTGGCTCGTTCCTGGGTTTTGTAGGTCCCAACCCACAAGGACACATACGTTCACTGACGTTCTAGAGGGTCCGAGAGAGAAAGCAACTGCTCCAAACTGCACAGCCTTTTCAAGACAAGCTTCCAAGTCAGCTCCCCTCAATTCCCTGTGCTATTTCCCAAGGGATGTGAGTGGCACACTTTTAACCTGATTCTTAAACTGTCTTAAATTCTCCTATCATCCAAAATCAGTTTTCTTTTCTGTAATCAGTTCTAGGTGCAATTTGAAAATGTGTTATTTATGTTCAGATTGAAGAGTGTAAAAAAATCACCGAAAAGGGTAAACCTGAGGGCTGACTTCACGCGGATGTGTGCCTTCCAGCTCCTTTGGCCCCCAGTGAGGGACTCAGGAAAGGAGGATGACTGGAGGAGGGGGGAGTAGTGATTTCCTGTTAAGGTGAAATCCGCCGCACAGGACCAAAAACATACCAGTGCACGCAACTCCCCTTGGGTGCATACCCAGGAACACCTCCTGGGTTTCTGTGTTCCAGCCTAGAATCAGCACTTTGCAACCAGCCTTGTCATCTTTCCTCATTTGGGGCGGGTATGGGGGAGGCTTGGGAGACCTGAAAGGAGGTGAGTAGAGAGTAGACAGGAAAACAAGCCCAGGAGGAAAAGCACACTAGGCTTGAATCTCAGCCCCACTCCTCATTACAGATGGAAATAGACCCTTCGTGAACACCTGCTCTGTGCTAGAAACTTCACATGAACGATTTCAGTTGTTAAAGTAAACAAAAAAAGATGAAGGAACAAAAAGTGTCTTTTATTGAGCTGACACACAGCAGGGAAGAGAGCTGCTGAAGGAACTGCTTCAAAGCAATTAAAGAGACAAAAGGTGTTTTTGTTTTTTTAAATAGGGTTTTGTTTCGCAGACTCTTCAAGCCATCAGGTTGACTCCCGTGGAACTTTTGATTTCGTGACAACAGCAAACTCCGTGTGTCCTCAGTGTTTGGCATGTTCCGTGTTCACCTCTCAACCTAAATACTGTGCGGCATATTGGTTGTGGGTCTCTGGAAATCAGGGTATCCGTTCTGTTTTCCAGAAAACAAAGATGCCAGAGTTGCTTCTGAGCTATGTGCTCTGTCTGAAACCCACCAGTGGAAGAGAGAACAACTCTTTAACTCTGGTTTTACTTGGTGGACTTCCAAACAATTACCGAAACGTTGTCAATCATTAGACAACTTAAGCAATTAGCAGGAAGTGTTTCTAACTCAGCTAGAAATTAGAAACGAATTTAGTTAGTTTCTAACACTTGGTTAGAAGTGTTTCTAACTCAGCCTCCTGGGGTTTTTTTCTGTCTTTCCCTGTGATCCAGGAGGAAGGACGCTGGCTTCTTGTCCTACAAAGATCACCTGCCGGTGAGCCAAGTGGTGGTTGGAGACACTGACCGGCAGGGCTCAGAGGCCAAACTGAGCGTGGGTCCCCTGCGCTGCCAAGGAGACAGTAAGTTTGCACTTTCTTATCACCATTGGAGCGGTGTTTTGCCAGAAAGCAGGCTTGCTCTTTCATGGCGCCCACAGAAACATCCAGCAACCCAAGCAGAGCTAATGTAAAGGAGGGCAAGACCCATAAAGTCTCCAGTACAGGAGCCTAGATTTGGGCATGAAATGTGGCTATCCATCTTCCTTGTATATTCATATGTAACAAGTTTGACTACCTAAGTTTATGGTGATATAAATAGCAATGCTAATAGCATAAATGCCGCACTCAACAGCTGTGATTCCACCGAGTGCTGCTGTTAATGCCATTAGCATGACTATTTATATCACCATAAACTCAGTTTATGGTGATATAAATAGTAGCATTATGGCTTAATGTATCATTGTAAACTTGGATTATGGCTATATAAAGTTTGACATTATTGCTATCAAACTTCATCATCATCAGAGCTTGATGGTCCCTTGTAAGCCAAAGATTGTTTCTGTAACTACGTCTTGCTTTCAGGATCAGGCACCCCAGAGAGGAATTTGGGGCTGCTAGCCTGGACAGTGGGAGGTAAGGGAGTTGGAGTGACGGTCCCACCTAATTAAGGGCACCATTAGGATTTTATGCTGTTTGATACCTTTCGGTGTGCTTTATGTGCAGTCAGAGGGAAATGGTGACACGGTTGCTAGGGGGATTCTGCAATGAGCGTCCTGGGTGTCATTTTCCCCTCTTCTTTTCTGTGCATGTGATTTAGGCGGCTCTCCTAAGAGTTCTGTGCTTTTGTGATTGTGCGCTAGACATCGAGAGACCCAGATTCTGCTCCCCACTACCTGACTTGCCAGGAGACCTCAGGCACACTCCTCCACTTTCTGGGCCGTGATAATGAGAATACCATGTGCATCCCAACCGCTCCATGGGAGGCCGTAAAGATTTTTAGTGCCTGGATTTGGATTCCTCCTAGAAAAGCATTATGTGAGATGGAATATTATTGCTGCTTTTGTAAATCAAGGGAAAATTAGAACTACTGGATAGTAAATTATTGCATTCGCTCAAAGAGGTGTCCTAAGGAACGCAATGATGCATGCTTACCAGTTTACTACTTAGTAAATCGAGGCTGTCAGCAATTAAGCAGTGAGTCGTTTCTAATACAAAAGAGAGGTAGAGCCTGTCCTGATTCTTCTCCTACGTTGAAAATGCTACCTGTAAAATTGAGACTGGTCAAAAGGGTCTTTATCATGCATTTATTGAACATTAAGACTTCATTCGCCTAGTCAGGCTTCGTAGAACTGTGCAGGAAGAAATTTCATTTCAACTGCTTAAGAGAAGGATATTGACATAAAATAATAAATATGCATTTTAAAACATATTCTGAGAGATGGACTATCGTGTTGTTCTAAAATTAGACAGGCTTTCATGTTGTCAAATGAAAATCTGTTTTGTTATGTAGTGATTACGCACTAACGTATAAAGGTAAATATTTGTAGCTTATCAATTCTAATTCTGAAGTTAGCTTTAAATTAGAGAGAGGGTTCCAATTAAATAATTGATTAATATATTTATAAATATTATACTTCTGCAAAATTTAAAGAGAAGATTCCAGCAATGTTAAATAGTATATGCTAGAGTATATTAACAATTTACAACTAATTTAGCTGGTTTTCTCTTAATCAGTGAATCGGTCCTTAAGAAGAATTTATGATGAAGCTGTTATTTATCTACCACTCTACTAGGTACTCTGGGAAATAAAAAAAAGAAGTCCACGTTTTGAGAAATGTACATGAAAAAATATTGTAAAACAAAAATGTGGTTTATAATTTAACGTTAGGTTTTGTGATATAAAATAATTGCAACTGATGCTCAAGAAAGGAGCCCTAGAAGGTGTATTTCAGGCAGACTTTATTTTTTAAAAGAGAAAAATGAAAAAGTAAAGTGGTCAACATTCATTTGCATTCCAAGGTTGTTGTCCTTGGAAATATTTTTAGAATCCTTTAATAAAACAACCTGTTATTTTATTCACTGACATTGTATGATCTCAGTATACTTAGAGTACTGTAGCTTCAGAGGGACCCTTACAAATCATATTGTATCTGATACTTCATGAAAACAAAAGAGGTCGATGTTTAATTGCAATTATGTAGAATGCTTTTGTGCTTGTGGAGAGGAATCTTTCTTTCTCCCAGGCAACTGAACGTACCTATCACACCTTGTGCTTGAATTGGAGTCAACAGTCTCAAGGCCCACAGTCCCTTAAAGAATGTTCCTACGTGGACACGGTAATGACAGAGCATCCACATCAATAGCATTTCCCAGTTTTTATACATACATGATCTCCTTGGATACACACAGCCCCCTGCGAGGCAGGTAAGGCAAATATTAGCTTTTCTGCTTTACAAATGAACAAAATACTTCTCTGAAAATGGCATTTACACAGCAAATTTCTGAGCACCCTTTCAGCCTCTGAGAAGCTCCAGGAGGAAAGATAGAGCAGAGAAGAGAAACAGCCTTCTCTGCACAAGGCCAGGGCTGTTTTCCTGACTGCGTGCATTCTCTTCCCTGAGTCAAATTGCTGGTTAAATTAAAATGTCTTAAAAACAGTTCATTTGGGCTTTTTCCCACCACTAGCCCCAGCCACCCCCATCAGTTGCCAACGTAGCACGAATGTTCAGAGGATTAAATTCATATAATTGAAAGAGTGGCACAGGTGCGTTTATCCGGTTGTTTATAGAGATTAACTTCCTTTATGTCATTTACTGAAGTCTGCTCAGAGCTGCAGTTTAAGCAAACCAAATCCATCGTTGAAAAATGACTTTTTCTGCATCTGAGGAGTGGAGGGCTGACAGCCCTGAGAAGCTGTCTCAGGAATAAGGCCCCGTTCTGTCCCTGGTCTCGGAGAATGAAACCATTTTTGTGTGCTCTGCCCAACCGTTTCAGCAGTTTCGGTTGATTTCATCGTGCCTGCTGAGTTTCATTTTTGCTTTGATTCATCTGAGCTCATAGACCCATATAATCAAAATGCTAAAGAAAATCAGTGAGTTCCACTCGGGTCTGCTGCCTTTCCCATAGAGCGTGCGGAAGGCTTATGCCTTTACGGTTTCTTGCCGGTTTTTTGTTGTTGTTCTTTGTTGCTCTTGTTTGGTGGGTTATTTTTTCTTTCCCCCAAACCTATCCAAATAGAAACTTCAAATCTAAATGAAAGTGGAAGTATGCCTGGTGATGGACGCTTAGCTAAGATTAAAAAAAAATGCAGTGAAATTACAAATCTCCCTCTCTCCTGTACTCACCTAGGAAGAAACAAAAGAGCCATTTAGAGGATCAAAAACCAGAGATAGGGTAGACATTGTTTGCAAATTGCAATATGTAGTCCTTCTTGGAGGTAGCTGCTAAACTTCTTTAGAATTAGTTTAAAAAATACAAGACTTCAATTTTTTGGAGATAGAAGTCTTATACTATGTGTAATAACTATAATTAATTGTAGGAGTATAGTATTTGCTGGGTAATCGCTTCATTCTCAGCCACATGAGGTAAAGATTTACCACACCTCTCTTAGGATACAGGGACCGTAAACAAATAATTAGCAGCAAGTTTGCTATAAAAGCAAGAGTTTTTGATAAACCTGGGTGGAAACAGTTTGGGAAAATGTGTCATTTCAAGGACTTCTTCCAAGGCTAAGCCAGAAACCCGTCTGGCTGTGCAGAAGCCGAGCCAGGCAGGCAGCGCATTCGCACTGGAGGATTAAGATACAGATTCAATTTCTCAGAGCTGCAGAGGTGACCTAGACGGGCAAAGGAAAAAGGGCAAAGTAGGTGGACACATCCTGTTCTAGAACACTCGGAGGGCAGAGACAGAGGCCCGTGTGACTGAATTAAAGATGGTGATGGGGTTTCATCCAAACGGTGGTGGGCATTTGTTCTTTGGGGAAATAATCGTGTATGCCAGAGTATAGAGAGTCCATGCTGTCTCTACTGCAAGGACTTGACAAACCAGGACCATAACCTGCCATTCCCCTACTAGGAAAGACCAGGCAATGCCCGGGTCCTCTGGGTTGTTTCTGCACAGGTGAAGCATTTCCGGCGGGGTGCAAACAAGGGTAACTGTCTGTCGGGCATGCCTGTGAGCACACACAGGCCACGCGATCTCCCCACGAGTCTCCTCTTGCCACACGCTGTGTGCGGCCAGCGAGGGCTGGAGGAGGAGAGAGAGTCCACTTCCCGCCTGGGCTCAGGAAGTGCTTTTCCTCGTGGAGAGGAAGCCGCTGTCCAGGCTCCAGAGAAGAGCTCCAGTTTGTTTCTCTCCTTTATACTTGGCCGCCTCAGGCGTAGAAGAAACAATGTAGGAGGGAATGGCCTGGAAAAAATGGCAAAAATATTTTCTGTCTCTAAAGCCTGCATCCCTGCCGCAGGCCAGTGGCCGGGAGGGGCAGGGGCAGTCTTGTGTTGATTTGCGCACCAGGAGGTGGCCCAGCCCGACCTGGGGAAGGGAGATCCTGGGCGGAGGTCACGAGACTGTCTTCAGCAGAATCAGAATTATCAACTCTAATTGCCTGAAGCTGAGAACCCATGCTTTAAAAGCTCTGTGTTTCTGTGAATGTTCAGGAAAGTTGGGATTCTGAGACGAGAAGGTCTGCCATTTTCCCTCCTTTGCCAGCAAAGTAAACTCTCTTTCCTCCTTCCTCAAACCGCTTGTCCTTGTTGTTGTTTGGCCTTGTGGACGAGGCCGAGTTTTCGGTAACAACGAGAAAGGGAAAGGACCCAGCGTGCGGGTTTTAAACTGAGCACTTTCTGTTCATCTTCTCTCGAGTCTGCTAACATCCTGCAAGAGGTGGCATCTTCCACCCCAGGGAACCGACGAGGAAACAGAGCGGGGCTGTTAGAGTGTTCGCCAGTACGTTTCAGAGCTGCGGCTGGAAAGGTCCATGTGGTTCCGGTGCTTCATTTCTACTCCGCTCTATCGCAGCTGATGTTGGGATAAGGGTGGGAAAGAAAAAAAAAAAATGGTACTCTCTCAGTTGGTGGCTTGGT